CCATGCTTGGATTTGTTTCTATTCTACGTTTAATCCTATTGATTGCCGAAAATAATATAAGTACAATATTTTTGTAGGAGTTTTCTCAATTGATAAAAAGTCACTAGGGAAGTGACTTACACCTAGGCGAGTATCTAATGGGATCTAGAATATAGGACAAGCTTGTTATGATTGGGGTCGTGATATAACCATCACGAGTGCTCAATCTATACCTCTCGATAGTTTGAGTGACTTTGCCCGATTTGACTTTCTCAAGTCCAAATGGGTGTTCATACATAACAAATGATATAGGCTCAAGTCGGGTATTACTATCTCTAGATTTAACCCTTTAATTGGGGCTATCAATCTCTTGAATGCACCCCAATTAGTTGTTAGCCTAATTTTCCTAGACTTAGTCTCTCTTTCTCAAGAAGAGTCTAAGTCATCAAGGCACGAATCAGTGTTTGCAACCACCAATTCTACAATTAAAGTATGAATTAAGCTAAATATCACTAACCCATAAATAATTAAGCCCTAATATTCAAGACTCATCAAATACCTACACTAGGGTTGAGTCACAACTCTAGCTATGGGGTTTAGCTACTCATAATAACAGTAGGAATTAAAGATGGAGATGAAATATAAGCCATAATATTCAAATACAAGGTTAAAACTAAGAATTGAAGACAAATCTACTCTAAGATTACTCATAAAGGCAAAAACCAGCCGTTCATGTGCTCAGCAAAATATTACATATCCTAAAAATGTGAAAAAGATCTATTTATACTAGGCTGAAATTCCTAAACAAAAATGCCCCTGCAAAAGTTTCGCGGAAGCGTAATTCTGACCGCGTCCGCACTTGAGCTCTCGCGGCCGCGCAATAATGAGCGCGGTCTGCATTTCTTCAATTTTGGGTTTAGTTTAGACTTGGTTTCGCGAACTGTGTAAAAGTCACCGCCTCCGCGTTAGCATCACCTATGGTCGCTTAATTTGGACGCGGGTCGCGTTCCTCAGTCAAGCTCAACTTGCAGAGTCTCTGAAGTTCAATCAACGCGCTCAGCGAAAATGCCACCGCGATCGCGTCAGGTATTTTGCGGCCGCGCTTTATCATCGCGGTCGCGTCAGTACCCAAAACAGCCTCTCTGAACCTCACTTCCGCGGACCGCGCAATTGTGGCCGCTTCAGCGGTGGACCTTACGCGGCCGCTCTTTTCCATCGCGGTCAGCACTTCAGTCCAGCTTTGAACTTGTGCAAATTTAACTCCTTCATGAGTTTATTATGGCTTCCTTGCCTTATTTTGACCAAACCCTGCAGACAAGCATATTAAGTTAGTTTTCGGGAATACTTTTACATATTTTTTATCCAAAACCTAAGCAAAAGAGAGCATAAGATAGGCTAAAATCCGTAGGTATCAAGTAACAAATTAATTCTTTCGGAACTCTTAATTTTGTACTACAAAATCTTTTGCCACACCATCCATATGGTGAATGTCTCCTTCACGGAGAAAATTATATATTAATAATTTTCATGGTCAAAATCATCATAAGCAAAATCATTTCTTGCTTTAATTTTTCCTTTAATAACCTTTTATAAGGCATGGCAAAATATTTTTTGGCGTACCACATGTACGACCAATGACATATTCATATAACCACATTGTAATATTCATTATCTTTATTTCTCTCAAACCTCCCTTAGAGGTGAGTTGTGGTATTCATCCAATCTTGCATAAGCACATTCTTATGCATAATTTGAATTACATATATATTTTCACATTCACTTTCAAGAATAAGTTTGCATTTACAACGCATATCATAAGTCACATTCTCTTCAAGTGGACTATAATCATATGAGCATTCATACCACATTGATGGCAAACATCACCTTCACATTTTGAAGGAATATTTTGAGAATCCTTATTGTTTTCATTTTTACAATTACCATAATAATGACTAATATTATTTGATCAATGGCACGCCCATGTTCATTGGTCAACCACTTGTCTTCATTACACTTTTATGCACTGCTACCACATTCACTTCAAGAATGTGCAAATCAAGTGGGACAAGCTTCATGCTTTTTCATGAAAAATATGTTATTTTTCTTTAGTCATCATTATATCATCAATATGGTGCATTGAGACTTGAACTCAGTGCCTTACCCATACACAAGCGTGTTTGGTTAAAGGTGTCGGAACTCAAAACCAATATCATGACCTTATCATCATGGTGCACCAGGACTGAAACCGATGTCTTACTCTCAACCAATGGCATGATAGGCTAAAGCGTGCTGAGGCTCACCCTCGAGCATTTAAAAATGTTAATTATCACACCGCAGTTCATATAGTTATTACAATCAGTAAGCAATATTTGCTTGTGAGATGGACATGTGTATATATATATATATATATATATATATATATATATANATATATATATATATATATATATATATATATATATATATATATATATATATATATATATATATATATATATTCAAAGCATAATAGTGTATCAAGGTAAGACTATTTAGTGATTTTGATAAAAAAAAAATATTTCTGAATACAGAGAATAATACATAGCACCTACTAAATATTATTGCTATACCTTTTAAAATAACAACTAACAGTTAGGTGAAACTCTCTAGATGTGAATTTATACCTCTGAATCCCATTGACACTAGAAAAGAATTACTTCCCAAAAGAATTAAATGCAACAATGGTCACTTTTGCACAAAGTACATGTGGTAAACTTAAAAATTCCATTAAGAGGGAATAACTCTTTATAGGCTTTATAAAACAAAATTATTTTGGATGTACAAAGGCTAATAAGAAGGAATAGCCTTTTGATTCTCAAAATTTGCTTACGTGAAAACAACTTGCGTATCATGTAATGGTTAGATTACACTACTTTAGAAACTAAAAGTAGTACGTATGAATTGATCTTGTATATGCGAATCAAAATAGTTTAGTTTGAAAAATTGGTAGAAACTTATTTCCAAATCATAAATAAATCCTAGTAGAAGCATATCTGATTATATACCTTTTTTTTCTTGATTCTCGTAATGAGATGAATTTAAAACATGGGCTAACTTACCAACAACATGAAATGTCAACTTATCACTTGGCAAATAAGTAAAAGCAATTGTAGCTTCCATGGAAGGTTTTCACTTCTTTTAGGAAGTATTAGAAGAATATAGCAATTCGTGTTGATAACGTGTTAAGAAACTAAGCTCAAAGTAATAATATAAAACAAGAAAATAGACAAGAATGTAGAGAGAAAGAGATTCTTATTTCGTCAGGTGGTTTCCAAGTATATACAATATCATTTCTCATCCTCTATTTATAGTATTATATAGAGGTAGACAAAAGAATGTCATAAACATGACATTAAACATTTGAGATCATGGAGGAAAATCATGGGGAGGTTATGGAGGTATGAGAGTTACAACAATAATGATAAGAAGTAGTGAGAGTTTAATGAAGAAGAGTAGTGGGTGTTATTTATTTAGGAGTTAATGCACATCCACCATAATATAATGGTTCATAACAAATTTTAAGTTTTTGAATATTGTTTTTTATATAGTTGCAACGAGAAAAGGGAAGACTCATTGGTCAGTAGAATACTGGCCAAATTTTAACTCGTGGCGATATGGTTAACATGACCTTTCAATTTAGTACAGAGAGAAGATTTCATAAATCGTATTTCGATAGCTTTGTAAACTTTAATTTACTTTTGTGTCTAAGTTTATCGAATTTCATATATTCAGGACTAAACAAGTTCTCATAAAAAAAAGTTTTTTTTAAAGTGCTCATCACGTGTGTGTTTGTTATTTCTTTTGGTTATAAAGTGCATTTTCTAAAGAATTGGCTTATTTTAGGCTATTATTTGAAATCTTTTGTTCCCTTTGATATATTAAAATTTCGATATATATGAGCAATCTCGGGGGGTCTATAACTAACCTCGGCCTTAGAATTGTCGAATATAATTTCGTGGACAACCACAAATTGTGCATTCTTTTGTGTGCCAAAGTCGTTAAAATTGGCTTTCAAAGTGTATGCTTACCTGCATTTCCTACTTTACTGCTCTTTAATCTTTATCAACCACTGTCTGCCCTCTATAACCCCCACCCCACCCCACCCCACCCCACCACCCACCCCACCCCCCAAATTTAGAATGAGCATGTCTAGTTATGCCACGTGTCATAATATATTGTCAGAAATTTGACTTTTCGATTCGCACATATATAAATTACTTTAATGTGATGAGAAACAATTTTGTGATTTTACAGTTATTAAAAGAAAAGTTTATTGACCATACGTTAAATTAACTTGAATAAGAAGAGAGTACAAGTGAACATTGCAGGAAACACAGAGGAACAAATTCACCAAAAGACTAAAGTACCGAGAAGTCTAGTTCTTAACACAGAACTGCATCAAAATGAAATCACCAATTTAGATTTCTCTTTTTACTCTATGGATCAATTACAGTGGCGGATCCAACAATTGGTTCAGGAGTTCAGTAGAACCTGAGACTTCGGATTTGAATCCTATATATATGTGCCGGAAAATACGGACATATAAAGTAAGATATAGATTTTAGAACTCAGTCAGGGTAAGGCTGCGTACAATAGACCCTTGTGGTCCGGCCCTTCCTGGACCAGCGCATAGCGGGAACTTAGTGCACCGGGCTGCCCTTTTTTTAATCTCTCAACACAGAACATACAATGTCTGAATTCTGGATCTGCTATAATGCAGTTCTGTTGTAACTTTGATAGGAGCAAATTCATTAAGGAGGTCACTAAGATTCTCAAAAACATAGCAAGAAACTTTAAACATGGATAAAAGTGAGTTTAGCTTCTTCAAATGGCAAAACCAAAGAAATAACTAGGCTTTAGAATAAGATAATGAATTATAGAGACAAGAAAAGATATGAATATAATGTGAATATGTCTCAAAGCTAAAGAAATGAATAGTCTTAACCAGCAAAAATTGAAGCATATGCTTGGATATGCCAAAATCAGAAGGAAATGTTAGGTTCATATAACTGATCAGCAAGAATGAAACTACTACCTCTATAACATCAAAAAATGAAGAAACTGTGGCTGCAAAATTGCCTATACATTCTAGCATTATCTCTGCCAATTGAAAAATGATCTCGCGGCCAAAATGGTCATACTTCTTGTAACCTTGTTTGTCACCAACTACCAAGATACAAGGTGCGCGTGCTCATCATCCTCATCTTCAACCTGAGCAGGAAGGTTAAGATCAAGTAAATCGTCGACGTCTTTCTTGACAGGTGAAGATTGATTCATGTTCTGTGCAGTACTAACAATAAAATGGGACCTTTTATGGCCACCCAAAGCTTGACCAGACTTGAAAATCCTGTCGCAAAATGGGCATTCGTGTCCTTTGAATTTCTTAGGCTTACTCTTTTTCTCTGCAGAAGCCGGTTTTCTACTGCTTAAAGTCTCCCTATGCTTGTTATCGCAATCAGCAGCATCAACGCTATTCTCATCACTTCCATTTATTGATTCGATATAAGCATTCGTCTTTTTATGGCAAGGTCTATGTCCACCTAGAGCTTGATACGAGCTAAAATTCTTCTTGCAATTCAAGCACTCATACTTCTTCTTAAATGACTCATTCTCTAATTCCAGACGATAAGAACTATTCTTAATTCTCTTTCTTGATTCACATTTATCAAAATATGAAGCTATCCGGTAATCATCATATTCGCTTCTTGACTCTGTTGGATATCTTTTAGTTCTATTTAAGCCCTTTTCTTTATCAATCCAAGACTCATCACACCAAACAGTATCACTCATTTTAGAGGTGCTCCATTTGTTATTACCATTTCTATATAATCCATCGACAGAGACATCCGATTCAACTATAGTATTTTCATCTAAAAAGTATGCAGAATCAGAGTTCTCAGACTCAGCTTCAGCATCCAAAACACTAAGTTTCAGCTTACTATCTTCCTTTTTCTTGGTTCGCGGCGTTTCATCTTGATTATAAACCAATTTCAGTCTATCCTTTCTAGTAAATCTCATGTCAGTAGAGGATGATTTGGTCTCCAGAACAACAGAATTATTATCAGAAGACTCAACAAATGAAGTAACACAATTCCAAGAATCCCTAGACAACATCATCAAACACTTTGCTACTTCCTCTTGATCTTGTTCGTTATCAATCTCAGAAACACATGATGAACCATTATTAATAGTATTATTATCATTAACTAAACAAACAGAAGACTTAACCACAATTCTTTTGTACCTCTTAGTCTTTGATCTTGTCCTCAACCTTAACTCCTCCTCAGCTTCAGTATCTGAATAACTAGTCCCTTTATCTTTCTCTGAATGACAAGCCATATGACCACACAATGCTTTAAGTGATTGAAATACTTTACCACATTGTTGACAAATCTTCTCTTGAGGTAAAGGAGAAGTTGAATCTACAGCCCTCCAAGTTTTCTTGGGATTCTCTCTTAGGCCATAACCAGAATTTCCACCAAGTTCAAATTTTGATTGATGCTGATTTTCTCTATTCCAAGATTGCAACTTTTCAAGTTGGGGTTCAATTTTTTCATCAAATTCAGCTGAATTTGTTAGTACATGAGATCTCATGTGGCCCCCAAGTGACTTCCCACAAGGGTACTTTTTGTTACACAACTTGCAAACAAACTTCAAATCTTGATTTTCTTCCATTTTTTTTTTTTTTGGTTAAGTTCTAGTACTAGTGAACCAAATCAAATTCAAAGAAGAACCAAAGAATAGAAAATCAAGAAACAACAACAAGCCCACAAGTGGGGTCTGAGGAGAGTAGTATGTACGCTACCGATCTTACCCCTACCTAACTAGGGTAAAGAGGTTGTTTCCAACAGACTCTCGCTTCCGGAACAGAAAAGGGAGCAATAAACAAACAATAGGCCACAATGAAACAAGTGAAATATTTTTGCAAAGCTCAAATCATACCACAGTGCCACATTTCAAGAACACCCAAAATATTGCTCTATAGCATCAAAGGAACTTAGACAAGAAGCAAAATTAAAACCCCAGATCAAAGTAAAGAAATGGAAGGGGTAAAAAACAAAACTTGGAAAGAGCTCAAAAGTTGGCCTATGGGGTAGGACACAAATCACAAAGTGTTGCTCAAGCAATATGAATAAAAAAAAAACAATAAACTGCTCAGATGTGGCACTTTTTGAGAAGTAGGAATGACTCTGAGTTCAATATCATGTAATCTCTGTCTCTCACTCTCTCTCACACACAAACACACACACAAATAAACACACCAAAGAGAGATACCCTAAGTGTTCAGTATTTCAAGAATCCTAAATGAGAAGGTAAAAAAATCAAACTTTGAGAGGGGCTGCTACTGAAATGGCCATAGAACCAGCCAAAATTATTCGGAGACTAAAAAAGGAAAATAAATAAATAAATAAATGATCTCAACAGAAAGCAAAAGACTCTTTCCTCTCTCTATTTCACTTTGTTTGTGTGTGTGTGTGTTATAGTTGGAGGAGAATTCCATGCATGAAAGCAAATTGAGAGAAAAGAGGCCAAAAAACACAAAAAAGATGGGCAAACGTGTAATCTTGGGAGGATTATTCGTTCTTTACAAAATTAAACGGTCAAGATTTGCTAGGAACTGTTTATTTTAAGGATTGAAATTCAAATAGATAACTCTTTATAACCAACCTAGTATGGTAGTAATACAGAAAATGAAATAAAGACCTGCTATAGAATTAAACTAAATAGCAGCTCACTCAATTATTTAAATTAAAAATAATCGGTAAATATTTTATTAATGTATATCGACTAAAAAAATATACAGTAAAACTTGTGTAAAGATAACTTATTAACTTAGATGCCAATTAGGGGTGGATCTTGAGTGGCACCTAGTGGTTTACAGCGAACAGATCCTTTATATGTGTTAAAATATTTATTAAAACTTATAACTTTAAATTCTGGATTCGCCTTGTGATGTTTTCATTATATTTTGTCTTAAATTAGTAGTCATGTTTGCTTTTGAAGTATTAAATTATGTGAATTTTGACCAGCAATTTAAAATATATTTTTCATCATATTTACACGAAAAAAGTTGCAAGTTGTAATATTTTTTGTATAGTTTTTTAATATTTAATTTTTATTTTAAAATCGTGAGCTTATCTAATTTAATTTAGCTTAAAATTTAGTTAAATTGACTCTCAAAAGTTGAAATATGATAACTAATTGGAATGCGAGAGTAGTATTTTTCTCATTTATTTCTGCTTTCTAGTCACAGTGTCACTCCCCTCAAAGGTCCGAATATTCAGCCGTTATTGCTCTCTCATCTTCCTCGTTTGTCCTTCCATAAACTCATTATTATATTCTTTGTACTTGTTTTCTTGGACTTTTTTTTTTTTTTTTTTTTGCAATTACTATATTTTACGCAGTCAACTCTTTTTTAATAGACATTTTGATGAATGTTTGCGGATAGAATTTCTTTTCCTTTTTTTGTTTTCCAAGACCTACATTTAAGTGTAAGCACTTTATTATTGTTATTATCTAGGAGATTTTATAACCCCACTAGCCTCAAGAAATACGCAATTTAGTGACAGAATTTAAAGTTTATGGATTTCGGATAAAAAAAATTTGAAAGAATTACAGGATTTTAGATTAAAATTTATATGTATTTAATAATTTTTTTAAAATAAATACAAGTTTTGAACTAAAGTTACTGGATTCGACCTAACCGTAGACGAAAGGTTAGCTCCGCCCCTCGGATTTCCAGTATAAGTTCTACTTGATATATCTATAGGGCTAGAACTGTATCTACATATAACTCGAGGCAAAGACCGTGAGTGTATTTTAATGTATTCCATTTCAATGGACATTAGCTCTTCAAGATTAACTCATTTATAAGCCAACAAATAGATTCTTTTTTCTCTCCTTATTGACGACTCTAAAATAATTAAGTTATATATATATATATATATATATATATATATAAAAGGTGTTTATATTAAGTTAATAAATGTAAGACATATGTTTTACACTTCATCATGATTAAAAAAAATATAATTTTTATTATAATTTATTGATTCTTGAAGTTAATTATTTAGTTAGGTGTAAGTGCATATGCATATGAAATATTGCTATGTAATCTTTAGATAGAAGGGAAATTTCATTATTGATTGACTAAAAAAGCACCATGATTAAATGCATTTCCTTTTGTATTTGACAAGACAGAGTCACTTGCTTAGTAAATTGATCGAATATGGGAAAATAGAAAACAAACAATTATTCTTTGCATTACCAACCTTTGAGAAAATGACTCTTGTATCTGTGTAGTGATTTAATTGGTAGGGCAGATAGGACAACTAGTAGCAGAAGTTAGTTACTTTCTAGGGCTTTTATAGTAAGAGTCCTAAACTGAAAAAAAGAAAGAAAGAAATCACCGGTACACAGAGCATTTCGTGTTCATGCAAGATTCGGGAATGAGTCGTACCACAAGGATGTGATATCATACCACAAGGATGTGATATAGACAGTCTACTCTAATGCAATCTGTCAAAACTAAGCTAGATCTGCCATGGATATGGAGGCAAGGTCTAGTGAGAAGAAGAGAGGAAATGTAGAGTGAGAGACAGAGCATCATAGAGAGAGAATGTAATTCGTATTTCTTTCTTCTTGTGTACAGTGTACAAAAAATGTGTCTAATATATACAAAATTAACAATATGTCCTAACTACCCAAATAATAGATGTATCTAAAAGAGTGCATATTAAATAGCATAATGTACAAGTAATCTAAACTACACTCTGTAGCTCTACACTCCCCCTCAAGTTGAAAATAAAAAATATTTTTCATTCCCAACTTAGACAACAGAAAAGCATGTTGCTGATGCCCAAGTGGTTTTGTCAAAATGTCTGCTGGTTGTTGTTGACTTGATATGTGAGAAGTCTCAATCAACCCCTCTTGTATCTTCTCTCTTATGAAGTGACAGTCTATTTCGATGTGTTTTGTTCTCTCATGATACATAAGATTTCCTGCAATTTGTAATGCAGCTTTGTTGTCGCAGAATAGCTTCATTGGCAACTGCACATCTATTCTTAACTCTTTCAGCAAGCCATTGAGCCAAAACAACTCTGCCACTGTGTGTGCCATGCTTCTATATTCTGCTTCAGCAGAACTTATAGAGATAGTACTCTGTTTCTTAGCTTTCTAAGAGATCAATGAATCGCCTAGCTTAATACAGTAGCCAGTCACAGATTTTCTTGACATTGGACAAGATGCCCAATCAGAGTCACAGTAAGCTTAAATCTGTTGTGTCCCTTTGCTTGACATGAGGATTCCTAGACCTGGCTGTCTTTTTACGTACCTGACTATATTTAGAGCTTCCTCATAATAAGATCTCTTGGGTGCATGCATGAACTAACTTAAGCATTGAACTGCATAAGAGATGTCGGGTCTGCTTATTGTGAGGTACAAAAGTTTTCCAATTAACCTTGAAAACTCCCCCTGTCTTCCAGTATTTCATTAGAGGTGTCAGCATTTATACTTTTATCAAATTCTGTACTTGTAAGCTTTATATTCTGCTCCATAGGTGCATCTTTAGGCTTTAAGCCTGCTGGTCCCACATCTGAGATCATTTCCAGTGCATATTTCCTTTGTGACATCAGTATTCCCTCTTTAGACCTTGCAAATTCTATCCCTAAGAAGTATCTCAACTCTCCTAGGTCTTTTAACTTGAACGTCTGGTGTAATGCAACCTTTGCATTCTGAATCTCTTCTAGATCATTCCCTGTTACAAGTAAATCATCTACATATACCATCACAAGCACTAACTTGTATTTGTCAGCCTTGGTAAACAATGAATAATCATGTTTGCTTTGAGCAAAACCGGAATCTAAGAGAGCTTGAGTTAGTTTTAAATTCCATTACCTAGATGCCTGTTTTAAACCATATAAGGATTTTGGTAACCTACATACTCTACACTCCCCCTGGCTACTAAAGCCTTGGGGTAGGGACATGTATACCTCTTCTTCAAGGTCACCATTGAGGAAGGCATTATGAACATCCATTTGGAAAACATGCCAGCCCTTGAGGGCTGCAGTAGCAACTACAGTCCTGACAATAGTTAACTTGGCCATAGGGGAGAAGGTATCATGGAAATCCAGACCTTCTTGTTGTGTGTAGCCCTTAGCAACTAGTCTGGCTTTGAACCTTTCTACTGAACCATCTGCATTATATTTAATCTTGTACACTCACTTGCACCCAATGGGTACCTTACCACCAGGCAGATCCACTACTTCCCATGTGTGGTTTTGCTCTAGAGCCTCAATTTCCAATTGCATGGCTTTAACCCACCTAGCATCTTTACTAGCTTGAGAGAAAGAGGAGGGTTCAGTGTCTGAAGAAAAAAAGCAAGGAAAAACTCAAAATGTGAAGGTAGATAGGAATATGAAACAAATTGTTGAATGGGATAGGAAGAGGAAGAGGAAGAAGAAGTAGTGGGTAAGGGAGGATGTACATAATCAGTTAACCAAATAGAAGGTCTAGTTACCCTTCCTGACCTTCTAGGTTGATGACCTTCTAGGTTGATCAGGAGTGGTGATGACAGGAGTAACAGAGGTAGGAGAAGGGGCATGAGAGGTTGATATAAGTTCAGATGAAATAACAGGTGATGATGAAGCAGGGGAGACATGTGTAGACTCAATTGGAGAAGCTGAATCAAGGGAAGGTGCAGGTATGGTATTAAGAAGAGGTTCAGGATGAAAAGGAGGAGGAGAAGATGCATTGGAAGGAAGGAAATGAGATCTTGGAAATTTGAAAGGGAAAATATGTTCTTTGAACACAACATCCCTGTTGACAAAAAATTTCCTAAACTCAATGTCATAGAGTATGTAACCCTTTTGATGTAAGGAATAACCCATGAAAATAGCAGGCCAGGACTTGGCAAAAAACTTATCACTGTAATGGGGTCTTGTGGCATAACACAAACATACTAAAGTTCTTATATGATGTAGGTTGGGAGGGTGACCATGGAACAACTCATAAGAAGTCTTTCCATTCAAAACACTACTAGGTAATCCATTAATGATGTAGGCTGCTGCAAGAATAACTCACCCCACTATTTTAAAGGAATGTGGGCTTGAAATCTCAAAGCTCTACTAACTTCAAGAAGGTGTCTGTGTTTCCTTTCCACTACCCCGTTCTGTTGAGGGGTGTGGACACAACTACTTTGATGTATAATTCCTTTGGATTTGAAAAGAGTGGAACAAAGTGTATTAAAGAAATCATAACCATTGTCCGATCGAAAGATTTTAACTTTGGAAGAAAATTGGTTTTCAATCAATTGAAGGAAATCATTCAAAACAACAAATAC